CCACCCCTGAGCACCAAACCATCATCTCGCAAACCATCCACAACCTCATCACCTCAGGTGACCTCCCACCCACGGCCTCCAACCTCATCGTTCCCCAACCTCGCACTGCCCGCTTCTATCTCCTTCCCAAAATCCACAAACCTGAATGCCCTGGTCGACCCATTGTCTCCGCCTGCTCCTGCCCCACCGAACTGATCTCCAACTATCTAGACTCCATTTTCTCCCCCTTGGTCCAGGAACTCCCTACCTATGTCCGGGACACCACCCACGCCCTCCACCTCCTCCAGAACTTCCAATTCCCCGGTCCCCAACACCTCATCTTTACCATGGACGTCCAGTCCCTCTACACCTGCATTCCCCATGCAGATGGCCTTAAGGCCCTCCGCTTCTTCCTGTCCCGCAGGCTCGACCAGTCCCCCTCCACTGATACCCTCATCCGCTTAGCCGAACTCGTCCTCACACTCAACAACTTCTCTTTCAATTCCTCCCACTTCCTACAGACAAAGTGGGTAGCCATGGGTACCCGCATGGGCCCAAGCTACGCCTGTCTCTTTGTAGGTTACGTGGAACAATCCCTCTTCCGTACCTACACCGGCCCTAAACCCCACCTCTTCCTCCGTTACATTGATGACTGTATCGGCGCCGCCTCGTGCTCCCACGAGGAGCTCGAACAGTTCATACACTTCACTAACACCTTCCACCCCAACCTTAAATTTACCTGGACCATCTCTAACACCTCTCTCCCCTTCCTGGACCTCTCTGTCTCCATATCGGGCAACCACCTCGAAACCGATATTCATTTCAAGCCCACCGACTCCCACAGCTACCTAGAATACTCCTCCTCCCACCCACCTTCCTGCAAAAATGCTATCCCCTATTCCCAATTCCTTCGCCTCCGCCGCATCTGCTCCCAGGATGAGGCATTCCACTCCCGTACATCTCAGTTGTCCTCGTTTTTCAAGGACCGTAACTTCCCCTCCTCGGTGGTCGAGAACGCCCTGAACCGTGTCTCCCACATCTCCCGCACCTCATCCCTCACACCCCGTCCACGCAATAAGAACCAAAAAAGAATCCCCCTCGTCCTCACGTACCACCCCACCAACCTCCGGATCCAACGCATCATCCTCCGACACTTCCGCCATCTGCAATCCGACCCCACCACCAAAGACATCTTTCCCTCCCCACCCTTATCTGCTTTCCGGAGGGACAACTCTCTCCGTGACTCCCTTGTCCGCTCCACACTCCCCTCCAGCTCCACCACACCCGGCACTTTTCCCTGCAACCGCAGGAAGTGCTACACCTGCCCCCATACCTCCTCCCTCACCCCCATCCCAGGCCCCAAGAAGACTTTCCACATCAAGCAGATGTTCACCTGCACATCTGCCAATGTGGTATACTGCATCCGCTGTACCCGGTGTGGCTTCCTCTACATCGGGGAAACCAAGCGGAGACTCGGGGACCGCTTTGCAGAACACCTACGCTCGGTTCGCAACAAACAACTGCACCTCCCAGTCGCGAACCATTTCAACTCCCCCTCCCATTCCTCAGACGACATGTCCATCCTGGGCCTCCTGCAGTGCCACAACGATGCCACCCGAAGGTTGCAGGAACAGCAACTCATATTCCGCTTGGGAACCCTGCAGCCCAATGGTATCAATGTGGATTTCACTAGTTTCAAAATCTCCCCTCCCCCCACCGCATCCCAAAACCAGTCCAGCTCGTCCCTGCCTCCCTAACCTGTTCTTCCTCCCACCTATCCCCTCCTCCCACCTCAAGCCGCACCTCCATCTCCTACCGACCAACCTCATCCCGCCCCCTTGACCTGTCCGTCCTCCCTGGACTGACCTATCCCCTTCCTAACTCCCTACCTACACTCACCTTTCCTGGCCCCATCCCCGCCTCTTCGACCTGTTTGTTTCCTCTCCACCTATCCTCTCCTCTATCCCTCTTCTATCCGCCTCCCACTCTCTCCCTATTTATTTCAAAACCCCCTTCCCCTCCCCCTTTTCTGATGAAGGGTCTAGGCCCGAAACGTCAGCCTCTCTGCTCCTATGATGCTGCTTGGCCTGCTGTGTTCATCCAGCCCTGCACCTTGTTGTCTCGGATTCTCCAGCATCTGCAGTTCCTACTATCTCTCTCTACATAAATATTTGATGAGAGTGTTTTACTGGAATTGGAAAAGTCACCTGCTGTGCGAACACAGATGTTAGAGGAGGAACACATCAAGTAGTTGGTGTAGCTAGCTGGCTTCCTGGGCACAATGGAGAAGCTGTCCATTAGAAGGCACAGATTTATCGCAAGTTGTAACTCAGTCATGATCTGTGTGATATCAGTGATCACAAAATTCATGGATTTTTTTTATTATTTACCTCATGGGACATGGGCGTTGCTGGCTGGCCAGCATTTATTGCCCATCCGTACCTGCCCTTGAACTGAAAGGCTTGCTAGGCCATTTTCAGAGAGCAGCTGAGAGTTGACCACATTGCAATTGGTCTGAAGTCACATGTAGGGCAGACTAGGTAAGGATGGCATGGTACAGTAGTGAGCCAGATAATTCTTCTGATAATCAGCAGAGAATTCAGTCACCAGTAGATTCTTAATTCCCAATATATTTCTTGTTATTGAATTCAAATTCCACTATCTGCCAAGATGGGATTCGAACTTGAGTCCCCAGAACATTAGCTGATTTTCTGGTTTAATAGTCTAGCAAGAATACTACTGAGCCATCTCCTCCCCTATGAAGTAACTTTTATTGCTTAAAATCATTTGGTAGCACAGAATTTGAGTATTGTTGGAACAAAAAGACACATTCGTCAAAGCTTTATATCTTGAATTCATCAGAACATTTTGCAATAATTCAAATTCAAGGGACAAGCCACCATTTTATTGCAGACGAGGACAATGCTGATTGGTTGGCAAGTGCATTCTTGTTTGTTAGAGGTGTTGCCATAGAGAATGCACGTAATAATGCTAACTGATAAGGTTTTAAAAACCAGGTTTGTTGGATTTTAAACCAAGAAGATTATCTCTAAATGGCCAGTCAATGCCCTGAGAAGCAATCCAATGAATGATTCACTTGTTGAGTTAGTTTTTTGAGGTACAGTCCACGTACATGCGGTTTCTGTTTGCAGGGCCCCATGTCTTTATATGTGCCTTCCAGTACACACAAGTACGCCACACTTCAGGCCTGGATGGCAAACCTAAATCAGTTGTCAACATGTTTATGCATTTAGGATCCAGAAAATTTTGTCCAATTGCAGAATAACATTGAATGTTGAACAATATCTTGCGAGCATTGCTAGTGTAAGGTTGATTTAGGTATAGTCAGCACCTTATTCTTCCAAACAGCCAAAGGAGCATGCTGGTTGATATGATCCGCCAGTCTTTAGGATGTACATTGAAATTCATATCCCATATTACTCTTTTGTGTGACAGCTGGAACTATTATTTCATAAGACTTCCTAGGCTTCAATTGGTATACATCTAAAGTAATGTATGCTTGGTTTAGGTTTTGGACATCTGACATTCCTTTTCATTCTCTACATCTGAAGGAATGAGAAGAAAGGGACATAATAAAAATATTACGTTGCTAGTCTCTAGATCCCTCAATAGAACTCCCAAAAAATATTTATTTCAAATTTTCACCTCTTTGGGAAACTTACCAGAGCACTGTTTGAGAGAAGAGAAGAGACATGCTGTTGTGACGTGAGACCCACCATAATCTCAGAAGTCCAGAGGCTGCTCTGTCATTAAAAAAGTACAACTGGTGGTAAATTTAACCTGAAGTCTGACAAGAGGCGAGACTTTCAAGGTGACCTCAGCTGGTACTGGAATTGAACCTACACTGTTGGTGTCACTCTGCATCATGAATTAAACATCCAGCCTACTGAGCTGCTGAGCGAGGATGTTTGTGCCCCTTCCCAAAATGATTGAGCAGTCAGTCCCATCACAGTACCAGTGATTCGATACAGATAGGCACCAAAGATGTGGTTTGGAATGGAAACGGTGCCTGTACTCAACTGTATATTTGTGCAAATGAGATGTCTTCACATGATCAGTTTTTGAGGGTAATAGGAATAGTCGTCCAATGGCCAGAACCACCAATGGAATTTTAGGAATTTAACTATTTGCCACAATGAATGTGATTACCTATTTGCAGCAGTTCAGAATCCCAAGTAGATAAACTGAGTGAGTATACTGGTTATGAAATATGTGTTATCGGTTGAAACATGCTTTTTATATAATTTATTTTTATATTACATTTTTACTTACTGAGGGAAAAATTACTTTTTTTTAGACTTTTTTCATTATTAAAGTATATTCTGTGAAAATTTTTTTCAAATTTGTTGTTTTGCAGGATCCAGTCATAAAGTTGCAGCCTTGGTGATAACAGTGATACTTATCTTCCTGCTAATTGGTGGAGTTGTGTGGTTTTTGTACAAAAGGAATAAGTGGCGATGGGCTAATCCCTTTGGAACTGTGCATTATGAACGTAGTTATAATGATCCCACAGATTCAGATAGCACAATTATGATATCAGAACTGAAAGAATTCCATGATTGAAATTTGTTGTTATATTTTGTCGCCAAAATGCTTGAGGATTTTCAAAGCATTGACATATTTTGTCTTTAATTTGAAAGATTACTAAATAATTTCACTTGTATAAATATTCCCTGACTTGCACTACTTACATTTTTGATGAATACTGCTACATAGTTAGTACTGTTGTAGTTTCCAGAGGTTATGTTCTTTTGTGAAATATTTGCTTTAAAAACATATTTTTATACTATATTAAGTAAACATTCCAATGATGAAAAGAATCATAATATATGCAATGTGTTAACTCCAAAAAAATTCATCTTTTTCCGATAATAACATGACATATTGTTGCTGATATGACAGATATTTACTGATATCTCTGTATATCTTAAAGCCATTGGAAATTTCACATTAACAATGTAAAATCAAATGTGTGTACATTTTAAAAATATATATATATAGTGTAAGATGTGTTAAAAGCCATAACATTTGGATTTTAGATGATTTGTGTAAAGTGGGAAAAATTGGTATTGTTTATGAAATCCTACTTACTATTTTCATGTCAGTGCCTTGTAACTTTTTTCTCACAGCAGATCTTCAAAGTTAAGAATTAGATGTAAACCAATCTCTAATCCAAATATAAGATTGGGTTGCATTAAGTTTCACATTATAAGTCTTTCTAAAGCTTGGGGGTTTGTTAATGCATATAAATTCTTGACTATTATGACACATATCTATAACAATTAAAATTGCTGTTCTCAACAAAACCATCTTAAAGCATGGTTTGTTTTAACTTTGACAGTTGCTGTCTAAACCATATATAGATGTTTTAGGCATCTCTAATCCCGAGAGGTTCTGTTGTGCTTTTCTTTGTGTGTATTTAAAACTCTATCGACTAAAATGTTAGCAGCCTTTAATTATTTTAAGGTTTTTAATTAGAGATTTGACAGAAGCATTTCCAATTGATGAACATTGGTTTAGATGTGACCAAACTACTGTTAAGTTCAATTTAATGAATACTGTACTGTGCAATATGATAAAAGGAAAGAGTAGAATGTGTTGCTTTACACACATCTTATTAAGCAGAAAGACCAAAAATGCAGAGCAATACTGAACTTTATTGCTAAATATTCTATCCTTGAATTATTTTGTAAAATCACGAAACAAATTTAGTAATTGGAGTATTGAAAATTAAACATGTGGGTAACAAGGTGCTCAAAAGAACAAATCAGTATTATAATTTTGTCACCTCATGCTTCTTTTAAATGCAATGAAATTGAATAATTTTATATTTGAAAAATACTCTAAAACATTTTAACTTTGCCAAACTTTAATATGAGAGTTAGGAAAAGTGGGTAGTGTTTGATTAACTCAACCTGTTTACCTCTCAAATTATGAACATTAGCAAAAAAAATTAAATTATCATCTTTGTAATATGAAATGCAGTCTTTGTTTTTTAAATTTAATTTGATTGCACAGATTTTACAGCATTATTGGCAATTGACAATTAGGTGAGGATTTACTGCATTGTGTAATTGTGCTTAAATTCTGCATTATTTTACAGGTTGCTTTTTCATTTGCTGATTTTACTAATATCCTTTTGAGTAAAAGGAAATCATGATACATTAGGAGTAGGGGCAGTTCAGCGTTAAATATTTTACTCCCAATTAGGTACAGAGAGGTAGCATAGTGGTAGTAAGACAAACACAGAGACTAATGCCGGTCACAGATTTAAATTCCATGATGACAGCTAATGAAATATAAATTCTATTAATAAATCTTTAATATAAAGCTCATCTAAGTAATGATACAACGTAACCCTCGACCATCAATTGTCATGAAACCTAAAACTAAAACAAAGAACCATGGATGCTGGAAATCTGAAACAAAACCAGCAATTGCTAAAGGAACTCACTCACTCAAAGTTCTTTAGAAGGCTCATTGAACTCAAAACTTTAATTCTGCTTTCGTTCCAGAGCTGTTGAATTCCTCCAGCACTTATTTTTGTCATAAAAGGCCGTCTGGTTCACCATAATGTCTTTTAGGGAAGGAAATCTACCATCCTTTCCTGGTCTGACAAATAGCTCACACCAGATTCACAGTAATGAGGTTCAACTGCCATCTGAAATGAGTTAGCCAGTCAGTTCAAATGCAGTAAGAACGAGAAATAAATTCTGTTGATGTCTGTGGTGCCAACATCCCATAAAAAAAAACCTAATTTCACCAGCACAGACTCAATTCTGTATATTTTATTTTGGATGACTTCGCTTTATTTTCAAACTGTGGTCCAGATAAATGAATAAACTAGGTTAATATACTACCTTTCATCTCAAGGGCTTGGGCTTCACTTCAACCTGAGATTGAAGTCTCTTCTGTCCAGTGATGTAAGTTAGCACACGACACAGATCTTCAATTCCTTTTGGCAATCTTGCTGAGAGGCAGCAATGTAGGTAATGAACAAAATAAAAGTCTACTACATGAGTGTTGCTTCTTAGGAAATCACTTGAGAGAAATTTGAAAATGTGACCAGTGCTGCACATTACTGTGAAGTATTTCATATTACTGGATATCTAAGATAAGGAAGTGTTACATTTTCCAGAACTAGCAATATTGACATTGAGCACCAAGTTACACCAAATAAACTAGCCCATCTTCTTTTCCAATAGTTGGGGAACTGCATCTTTGGTGATCATGGTTACATCTGTGGTACAAATAATTTTACCTGTGTGGATTGGTGACACGTGGACAAAACTGAGAACAAAATATTCTTTAAAATTTGGATGTGTGTAAATATAAGTATTTTGCTCTGCAAAGAAGACTCATTTTCTGGGTTCTTTTAAAACATATTTGTATGTACATAAATGTTCTGAACATGCCTTTTTCTGTGACTAGAAACTGAGAAAGTAACTGGGAAAGGAAAAAATACAATATTAGTGAAAATTATTTTAGTTGAATGGCTTTGTTCCACACACTGTTCATGTATGTTATACAACTGAGTTATTAAAAACAGCACATGACTTAATCATTTTTCCTATTTGTGATTAACTTTATTTGCTGGGTTACCTTGTTATTAAGATAACAGCTTGTGAAATATTGTCATTATTAATTATTCTTTTAATTTGGGTTCCTTAGATCAGGAGAGTTCAAAGTGTACCCAAATGTACAGTTTCTATCCATGCATATGCTCTTTAAATATGAGGTGGCAATAGTTCCAATGCTCCCTGACTCTTGTCAGTTGTGATGATATGTGTCTTTGAAGGATTTGTTCTGTCCTGGTTCTCTTGAAGAGAAGTGTTGCCAATCTGGTTCCATGGTGTATGCCCCATAGAAAGCAGAGTAAGTAGCTTTGGGTTTTTTAAAATTAGACAAAAGAAGCATGAGTGCATGGAGTCAGGTTCTCACACAGCCCGGGTTTTAGTTTTTGCTTTTGCTTTCAGTCGTCGAAGCTGAGGTTTTGGAGTTGAAGCCGTTAGATCCAGCTCTCTGCTCTTGCAAAAGCTTGAGTTCTCTCGCTGCTGCTAGATTCATTCTGTCGGTGTTACTTTCTCCTGGACTAGAGTTGATAGCAAGTGAGCAAATCTGTTTTCCTGAATTTGCCAAGGGTGTGTTTATAGGATGTTGCTATTTCAGAACAATTGATGAGTAATAATTAATAATGTTAAGTATTTTAATATTTAAAGTTATATCAATTTTTTTTATTTGCCTTTTAACTGTAAGTGTGTTTTGCTTAAAACCAAGTAGTTTGATGAATCAAATCACATTTGGAACACCATCTCACCCTTGCCTTTACATGAGCTAAAAGTTAGGACCTAGGCTATCTCCATGATTATGTTTTGAGGGCTTTGATCTCATCCATAATACAGTAAACAGTTGGTATTCTATGAACTGCTACTGTGGACAATCAAGAATTTCATATCTCCTTAAAAAAATCCTTATCTATTTGTGTTAACATTTTACCTTTTGTTAAATGAATGCAGACAGAATTCTTACCAAGACTAAATATCAAAAGATTTATTCTCAAGACAGCTAAGTACATTGTAACTCTAGCACACATCCATACAGTCTGGGCTCTTTCAAAAGGCTGGTTGACTTGCTTTCCTGATGGAATCCAAAGTACAGTGGCTATTATTCAAAGTGGGGCTATAGTTTTACACAAGAATGTCGCATAGCATGAATACTTGATACTTAATATTACATGAAATGTCACACTCAGCTGTCTTAAAGGTACATGATTTCCTTATCAATGATACATACCATATTACAACAGCCTTTCATCCATGCCCTTTCCATGAAATTTCTCCCATGGAAAATGTAGAAGGTTACAAATCAAAAATAACAGTAGCATTTACAGATTAAGTTAACATTTTGACAGATTTATAATAAAACCAGATCAAGTTCTTGTGCAGTTCTCAGGATGTGGTGGCACAATTACATGCTGTCATGTGTTGTCTGCATTATAGATTGGTGTTGACTGTTCGCCATGGATGTGTTGTTATCTGGTGTTAGCACAATACTTTGTCTGAATCATTATCTTGGATTACATATAGATTGTCATCCACAATTCGAATCTGTTCTGTCTTAGATTATTTTCTCCACTTCCTTCCAAGCATTCAAGAGCTGAAGTTATGGTCATGCACTCTCCTGTTTTGGTCTGAAACAACTGTCTACTTCACACTTGGTTATGTTTCTATATCATTTTCTCCTTTCTTTCCAACAAGAAATCCCACGTGCACCCAGCTGGGCAGAAAAAAATGTGAGATGGAAGAACAGTACAGACTTGTCTTCCAACATGAGTTGCAGACAAAGTAACTGTAACCAATATACTATCTTGACTGTAGATTTGAAATAGGTCTGTAGCAATCTTGGACCATGAATTTCATGCTGCTAGTATTAATGAAGCAGATGTACTTTACATGATTATTAATTGACCTGTCTTTGTTGAAGCCAGGCCCATAAACAGATTCAAATGCTGGTCTTTTGGTTTTAAGTGCACCCATGTGACCAATGTGGACATGGTCCAACATGTCTCAATGCAAGATTTTGGGAATCAACATTTGCTTTCTTTGTTCTACTTGGTTATGACTAATGTGAATGAGATCAATATTGTCCTGTATCCTATATTAAACAACATCACAGCTGACTCCTAGCATCTTGAAATTACCCAGGATCCCAGTTGTATTAGACATCAAGATCATAACCATAGTGGTGCACTTGTGAGTGGCTTCTTGCAAATCATTTCCAAAGGGAGGGTCAGGTCTTATACCACTGGATCAGTATATTGTATCAAAAATGTTTAATTGGCTTGTATTAATTTGACACAACTTGTTGCTAAAGACAGAGCCATGTTTCTTTACCAAGTCCGAGTTGGAGATTGCTTTTGTACTTGTGTTTGTTCTTTCCTAGCACCGCAGTGTTGTTGGCAATGCAAAAAGAAATGGGAATTTTTCTACGATTTGGCTCATGTGCTGCTGAAAGATATCTTGACTCTCGGGCTGCCTGAACAATAGTTCTGAAAAAGCAGTATCTATCAATAGGTGTCCAAAAAGCAAATAAGCTCTTGTGAATGAAATGAAAGGTGCATAGACAAATAGCCGCTTGTTGCATCTCATTTCGCGAAGTTCAGAAAAGATTTACAAGGATGTTACCAGGGTTGGAGGGTTTGAGCTACAGGGTCAGGCTGAATTGGCTGGGGCTATTTTCCCTGGAGTGTCAGGGGCTGAGGGGTGACCTTAAGGTTTTTAAAATCATGAGGGGCATGGATAGGGTAAATAGATGAGGTCTTTTCCCAGGGTGGGAGAATCCAGAACTCGAGGGCATAGTTTTAAGGTGAGAGGGGAAAGATTTAAAAGGGACCTGAGGGGCAACATTTGCATGCAGAGGGTGGTACATGTATGGAATCAGCTGCCAGAAGAAGTGGTGGAGGTTGGTACAATTACAACATTTAAAACCCATCTGGATGGATATATGAATAGTAAGAGTTTAGAGGGATATGGGCCAAATGCTGGCAAATGGGACGAGATTTATTTAGGATATCTGGTCAGCATGGATGAGTTGGACTGAAGGGACTATTTCCATGCTGTATATCTCCATAACTCCTAACTATTTAACTCCAGAAATTTGGGATTGAGCTTCTCCAAAGTGGGAATTTTAGTCGGATATCTTTCTCTGTGTTATTCAGTGTTGTCACCGTATGTTTTGGGAAAAACCAAGACAATGCCTTTAAAACAACTTAGAAAAACACAGTTTGAACCTTGGCTATCCCTAAATAGTTATCATATTTACATGGTTATATGACTTGTTCATAATCCAAGTTGTTTTTCAGAGTAATGTCACGTGAACAACTACAATATACCACCATGCTTTTATGTTTTGTGAAAAACCTACATGAATATAACACGACACAACGAATTAACTATTTCCAAACCTAGATGTCAATGCCTGCCTGCACATGCTCAGACCCTGGGCCTGGGCACAGAGTCCAGTAACAAAGCCATTCTATGCAGCTTCAGCATGATCACTGAAACCGTGACAAATTTAGTCAATCGTAATAATGCAGAAAAAAATTAAAAATCTAACTTTTAAATGCATGGATTTGCTCCAAATTTAACAAACAAACATGTAACAGGGTCTTGTGAAGAAACTTCAATTTTGAACATTGAAACCTAAAAACATAGAGCCAACAAAAAACACTTCTGGGTGGAAAAACATAGGAGTGGCAACACTGGTGATACTTAGTCATCTAGGATCCAAACATAATGTATAGTGTCATTTATTTGTGCAGAAGTGATGGAGTTGCACCAGTAAATGTGGTGGTTGACAATGCATATAATATTGTTGAGTTCCATCATATCTAGTCACATTTGAGTTTGTCCTGTATATGGACCTTATTTGCAAGGTGCACTCCCCACGCCTGTCCACTTTCACAGGGATCGTTCATTTCTGTGACTGCCTCATCAGCTGTGCACTCCCCACCAACCTCTCCACAACACCTGGTACCTTTCCCTGCAACCGCAAGAGGTGCATCACCTGCCCCGACACCACCTCTCACCTCCATCCAAGGCCCCAAACAATCCTTCCAAATCCGGCAGACATTCACCTGCACCTCATCCAACCTGATTCATTGCATCCGTTGCTCCTGATGTGGTCTCCTCTATATTGGTGAGACCAAAAGCAGTCTAGGGTACCGGTTCACGGAGCATCTGCGCTCTGCACACACCAACCAACCCAACTTTTCAGTTGCGATTCATTTGAATTCCCCATCCCACTTCCCCGGCAACATGTTCATCCTTGGCCTCCTCCACTGTCAGAGTGAGGCCAAATGGAAATTGGAGGAACAACACTGATATTTCCACTTGGGAGCTTACAGCCTAAGGGCTTCAAAATCCCTCCTGCCCCAGCCTCATCCCATGTCGCATCTCCCTGACCTGTCCTAACCTGTTCACTTTCCAACTTACTTATCCGCTTCACCTTTCCCACTGACCAATCACTATAACCCTTTACCTGCATCCACCTTTATCCATCCCACTTACCTTTTCCCAGCCCCACATTCCTCCCTCTTTATTTCTGGGCTGCCCTCTGTCTCCCCGGTCCTGACGAAGGATTTTGGCCCGAAATGTTGACTTGCCTGCTCCTCTGATGCTGTCTGACCTACTGTGTTCAGCTCCACGTTTATTGACTCTGGTTTCTAGCATCTGCAGTCTTCACTGTCTCTGGGTCAATACTATGCTGATCATTGTCTTTGAGATATAGAACTGCATCATACTGGAAATTGTCAAACCGATCTGGATATAGACTTGTGAAATCCTGAATGGATTCCATTTTTCTGTCTGTAATCCTTGTCACAGCAAAGGTTTTTGCCATCTCGTGTATCTTTATGAAGATCCATACACATTAGCAAACCAACCATGGTTGCACCACTCGTTTCAACAATGGAGAAAGTTTCTGGCAAACATCAAGAAAGACCATATAGAAATTTGAAACTAACAATGTCAATATATAGAATGTCAGATTCCCTATAGACAGTGA